AGTACAATTCCCTGGATCAAAACTTGATGAGACGACACATTTTAACATCCTCTGGATCAAAACTGGGTGAGACAACACATTTTAACATCTCCTGGATCAAAACTTGATGAGACGACACATTTTAACATCCTCTGGATCAAAACTGGGTGAGACAACACATTTTAACATCCCCTGGATCAAAACTGGGTGAGACAACACATTTTAACATCCAGGTAGATCATATGTTATACAGGTAGATCATATTTTATACAGGTAGGTCATGTTATACAGGTAGGTCATATGTTATACATGTAGGTCAGGTTATACAGGTAGATTGCTTACTATAAATGTAGGTGAAAAGCTATGTTTGTATGGGCATTTCCAAAATTCAAACATTAGTGTTTGTCTCTAGAAGGTGTATAAATAATTAATATATCCACATTGTCAGAATGAGCTAGAAAAGTAGATTAGTCAATCATGTAGCTAATTCTGTGGGTTGGTCAAACTAAGACTATAATGTCATAAAACAAAACTTGTGTTCAAAATTCATTAGCTATTTTTAGAATTCTCTATGAATTCAACAAATGGTATGAATTTTATGTCAAACTGTTTTTAAACAAGATTACAAATGTGTTCTTTAACCAATTTTGACCAAGGAGATTGTTATGAATGTGTCATTTCACCTAGTTTGTTTGAAAGGATTGTTGATAATGTGTTCTTCTGATCCAAAATATTGTTAAAATGCATCCTCTCACCCAGTTTTGATCCAAGGGATGTTAAAATATGTCGTCTCATCAAGTTTTGATCCAAGGGATGTTAAAATATGTCGTCTCATCAAGTTTTGATCCAGGAGTTATACAGGTAGATCATATGTTATATAGGTAGGTCATGTTATACAGGTTGATCATATGTTATACAGGTAGATCATGTTATACAGGTAAATCAGATGTTATATAAGTAAGTCATGTTATAGAGGTAGATCATATGTTATATAGGTAGGTCATGTAACACAGGTTGATGATATGTTATACAGGTAGGTCATATGTTATATAGGTAGGTCATGTTATACAGGTAGATCATATTTTATACAGGTAGATCATATTTTATACGGTTGATCATATGTTATACAGGTAGGTCATATGTTATATATGTAGGTCATGCTATACAGGTAGGTCATATGTTATATAGGTAAGTCATACTATACAGGTTGATCATATGTTATATAGGTAGGTCATGCTATACAGGTTGATATGTTATACAGGTAGATCATGTTATACAGGTAGATCATATGTTATACAGGTAGGTCATTTGTTATACAGGTAGGTCATGTTATACAGGTAAATCATATGTTATATACAGTAGGTAAGTCATGTTATACAGGTAGATCATATGTTATATCGGTAGGTCATGTTATACAGGTAAATCATATTGTATAACATATACCTGTATAACATGATCTACCTATATAACATATGATCAACCTGTATATCATGACCTACCTATACAACATATGATCTATTTCTATAACATGTGATTTACTTGTATAACATGAGCAACATGTATAACATGATGTAACGACCTACCATCATACTACAACCTATGTAATGTACCAGTATAAATTTAGGTCAAAATTACATTGGTAGGTTATGTTATAATGTTGTAACGTGACCTACCTTAGTAACATATCACTTCCATATCTAGTATACAATCAAGTTTTACCTGTACAACATGTACCTTTATAGCTACTGGGATGAAACAATTATTATCAGCATTACTATCTTCAAATTGTGGTTGATCGTCCACAAATGGATGGCCTGTCAGTTGCTGCTCTGAGAATATAGAGAGAGAAAAAAGTTGTAGTGAGGGAAGTAAATATTAGGAGCTACAACTCCTATTAAACATATACTGAACTAACCTCATAACTGTAAAACATATACTGAACTAACCTCATAACTGTAAGCTGTAAAACTTGTAAAACATATACTGAACTAACCTCATAACTGTAAGCTGTAAAACTTGTAAAACATATACTGAACTAACCTCATCACTGTAAGCTGTAAAACTTGTAAAACATATACTGAACTAACCTCATAACTGTAAGCTGTAAAACTTGTAAAACATATACTGAACTAACCTCATAGCTGTAAAACATATACTCAATTAATCTGATATATGTAAACTGTTAAACATATAGTCAACTAACCTTATATACATAAGCTGTAAAACCTGTTAAACATATAGTAAACTAACCTCATAACTGTAAAACACATACTCAACTAACCTGATATGCATAAGCTGTAAAACCTGTTAAACATATACTCAATTAATCTGATATATGTAAAACCTGTTAAACATATAGTCAACTAATCTTATATACATAAGCTGTAAAACCTGTTAAACATATAGTCAACTAACCTTATATACATAAGCTGTAAAACCTGTTAAACATATAGTAAATTAACCTTATAACTGTAAGCTGTAAAACCTGTTAAACATATAGTCAACTAACCTTCTATATATATGCTGTAAAACCTGTTAAACATATAGTAAATTAACCTTATATACATAAGCTGTAAAACCTGTTAAACATATAGTCAACTAACCTTATATACATACGCTGTAAAACCTGTTAAACATATAGTCAACTAACCTTATATACATACACTGTAAAACCTGTTAAACATATAGTCAATTAACCTTATATACATAAGCTGTAAAACCTGTTAAACATATAGTAAATTAACCTCATAACTGTAAGCTGTAAAACCTGTTAAACATATAGTCAACTAACCTTATATACATACGCTGTAAAACCTGTTAAACATATAGTCAACTAACCTTATATACATAAGCTGTAAAACCTGTTAAACATATAGTAAACTAACCTCATAACTGTAAGCTGTAAAACCTGTTAAACATATAGTCAACTAACCTTGTATACATACACTGTAAAACCTGTTAAACATATAGTAAATTAACCTCATAACTGTAAGCTGTAAAACCTGTTAAACATATAGTCAACTAACCTTGTATACATACACTGTAAAACCTGTTAAACATATAGTAAATTAACCTCATGACTGTAAGCTGTAAAACTTGTTCACTCACAGAATTCTACTTGATAAGTTATTCAGTTTTAATAAGCTATTATTACTCTTGGAAATCCTTTTATTAATAAAATCAAATTATAAAATATGAAATAAACATGAGAGTTGTTTGAATAGAATAACTGAAACTTGCAAGATTTAATAGAATAAATAAACTGAGTGTGGCACCTCAGAATAGTGAGTAACTGTGACATATACATTCTTTAGTTAAGGATACGTTAATTACTAAATTATGTAATGTGATACATAATCTTCCAATATCATGATAGGGTGTGACATATTGTCAAACTGTAAATAAATGCTTTACTGGGTTATCATAATTTGAATTGTAAGTATAATTGGCATGGGAATAACCTTAACAGTGTTTTGAAGGAACGAGATCTTGGTGTAATAATTGATCAGTCTCTAAAGTCATCCAAGCAGTGTACTGTTGCTGGTGGTAGGCAAGTATTGAATACAAGTCTAAAGAGGTTATAATTTCATTGTATAGGTCACTGG